ATGGAATGGACAATACTTACATTTTAATAATTTTTTCTGCGAATAGTTATAAACGAACACTAGTCAAAACTCTGTTTTATAGTGTCAGGAGTATATGCTGTACAGAAAAATTAGAGGAAGAATTTACGGTCATTGAAAAGATGTTGGAAAGAACTGACCACTCTTAAAAGTTGATTAACAAGCAAGGAAGATGTGAGAGGCTCAAATACCAAACAGAAAGCATTAACAAAAAACCTATCACAGGAATAGTCTACACAAGATTGAATCTGCTAAGTTAGTTTCCGTCTGTCAGACAACATGCTATTTGATGCATTCATAATCGACAGATACCCTTCTCATGTTAACTCTGACTGTGTATACAAACTTACATCTATCTACTGAAGAAGTTACAATGGGAAACAGAAACAAGGGCACACCGACTTCTGAACATGTACGTACCAAAACATCTGCATCACAAGGGAACAAACGGTTGCAGCAGTTCCATTGCAAACCTTCTTGTGGTTAGGGGTTATGAGATAGCCACCAAGAAATCGTATAATTTTGTTCATAGATAGAATAGCTCACTTCTGCTCACTTTTGCCAAAATAGTGGCTAACAAACACCTGAAACTCGATTTGTGTATTTAGAAAGAAGCAGTTATCAGTCTTTCATTGTTGTGGTGATTGACTATTTCTATCTCTGTATTGTTTAAATACTTACTGTTGATTGTTAAAATATTTCTTATATGAATTGAATATAATTCCGCTAAATACAAATTCCTGAATTCCGCCCTCTCTGTGTTTTGTTTGGATTCTTGTAATTCGGTCATCTCGAAATACTAATACTACGATTACAAATAATTACAACAAATTGGCGTCGCGATGGAACTAAATAACCTTGGAAAATTTCCTATAAATGGTTCACCGCGGGAGATTGCTGATTACCTTGAATGCTTCGATGCGTGGTGCATTTCAAAGAACGTTCAGGATGACAAAATACCAGCACATTTCATCACTGCTATTGGGCTAGATGCATATAGCCTAGTGAAGAATCTGGTGTTTCCAGATAAACCTATTTCTCTGTCATATGACAAGATTCGTGAACTTCTGATAAATCACTTTCATGTAACTACATTTGAGACCAGAGAGAGGGCTCAATTCCATAAACTGGTTCGTGCTCCCAAGCAGAAGATTAGAGACTTTATTCTTCAACTTCAAATACAAGCTTCAAAGTGTAACTTTGGAGATCAGCTGCATACTCAACTACGTGATCGTCTAATTGCTGGAATCAATATTCCTAAGTTAGAGAAAGAGTTAATTCAGATTCCTTCTTGTACTCTTCAAACTGCTAAAGATTTATGTATTACATATGAAGATGTCAATAATGAATACTCTGCTCCCACTACGTCAGTATCTGATGTCATGCTTTCTAAAGTCGAAAATACAAGTGGTCATGGAAAGCAATCCAAACTGCCGTCCACAGGTAATAGAATGCAGCGAGAGATCAAAAACATTAAACCGTGTTTTTCCTGTGGAAAGTTACATCTACGAAGCACTTGCCGTTTTCGGGGTGCTAAGTGTCACAAATGTGGTAAAGTTGGACACATCAAGACTGTTTGCAGAAGTTCGAATACTTATGTTACTCAGAATTCTTATAATTCTCCCAATCTGTCTAGTAAAATGGAGTCAATGTGTCTTTCAACCTTTCAAAATACTCAAGCTCATCCAATGAAAACCTCCACTACAAGTTCAGCAACTCAAGCGTCAACTGTTTTCAAAAATGAGGTAGCCGAGTTACAATGCGAACTGTCGAAAACACGAGAAAAACTGAATGAGATGAGAGAGCAACTGATTAAAATGGAGGAATTGCTGCATATGCATAGACTGCGTCTGTTGAATGCAGAGCATACAAGTACCCGTGAAAGTCCTGCAAAACTTTTCAAATCTCGAATTCTCAAAAAGCATCTGATGTCCACGACTTCTAATGTACATTATTACAAAGGGAATGACTATAGACCTTCTGTTGGAATTATACTACAAAAAATGGGAAATCGAGTGGTGAAGATATTAGACATCAAAGATCACTCAGTTCATAACAGACACCTGGACAAAGTGACAATAAATGAAGTAGGTCGTTCCAATTATAATAATAATGATTCCGCTAATAATCCTGATTTTGTAGATAATTCAGAAATAAGTCCAGATAATACTGATGAAAATAATATCACAGAATCAGTTAGAAGGTCGCAGCTACTTGCAAGCAAACCGAGACATCGTTATAAATACGCAAGGAGATATTCGACGTGTGGCGGATGTGGTGATTGACAATTTCTATCTCTGTATTGTTTAAATACTTACTGTTGATTGTTAATATATTTCTTATATGAATTGAATAATAATTCCGCTAAATACAAATTCCTGAATTCCGCCCTCTCTGTGTTTTGGTTGGATTCTTGTAATTCGATCATCTCGAAATACTAATACTACGATTACAAATAATTACAACAATTGTCCTGGTAACTGGATGTCTTTATTCTTTCTTTTATTTGACTGTATAATCTTTGTCGTTAACCTTCTGGCCGAACCGTCACTTTCCATATAGTGCAGTTGTGCGTGTCTCCTTTCTGTACTTTTAAGTTGAACTAACTATATTGTTAATGAATTTATCAATTACTCATCGTCTTATTTACCTCTTGCCGTTATTGCGTAACTCTTTTACTCTCGTATGCAAATATTTTTTCTTGTTTCAACTTTAACTCTCTGGATAATTTCTTTGGGGTGTACGCGGCTGATGAGCAGTCAGAGAAATAAAAAATGATGGTATCGTCTTATTCTGCAAAAACAGTTATTTTTGCTTTATTCAAATTTATTTCACTTAACCATCTCTGTCATGCTTTACAGTGTACTCACTCTTGAGTCTTCTGCCTCAAATTGACTAAAATTCAAGATGGATTGTATTATAAACCCGGAAATGAATTAAATCATGACACTGTTATGTTTATATTACCGATAACCGCTGAAATGATTCTCTTATATTTTAAGTGAAAGCCTTCTGGTGAATTGAATTCTACTAAAGTGAGCATGTACAAAGCTGCGCTTTTGTAATAGTGAATACTGAACACACCATTCGGTGGATTGATTATCTATTTCTTAGGAGTTGAATTTAAGGATTTGATTTATTTTTCCAGTCTGGTCACAGACTGATGTCAGGGTGATCCGAGTAGATGACTTGCTCTCCACTTGACAGTTTCCACAGTCTACATCCAGTTTACCTGCTTTGACAGGTTCCTAGTACTTGCATGCAGTAATTTATCTTTTTATGGCTACCAGGGCAGCCTGCCCAGCTTCCTGTATTGTATGAATCGTTCACGTCCTAATGCTTATTTCTGCTTTCATAGAGAGAGTACACATAGGTTGACTGGCTTCTCTTAAGCTTTCGTCAGCCCGCGTGTAATTCCATCTCTCTTGTTCCAGAAAAAATAAGTTTATTTTATATAGTTTTGAAAATGTTCCTCGTGCTCTGAAGTTTTTCTAGCAGTTTGACTGATTTTCCGCGGTAAGGTGGCCAGCCTCACTTCCGACCTTCCCTCTTTCCCCGGGCTGGACACGGCTTAGAAAATTAGCGAGCTAGTAAACTAGACGAGGGTCAGAAACTTAGAGAGTGCGTCACTAGAATCATTTATAAGAGGCCAGTGTAGACGTTTTTCAACAGGTGCGTTCGACAGCTGGCTCCATACTGAAAATGAAATGGCTAGGTAGAAAGAGTTTGCGGCGAACAAGGAACTTTGAGAAGAAACAGAAGAACAACCTATTACTCCAGAAATATGGGATGGACAATGGAGATGGATGTGGTACACACCACTTAGGAGACCGTTGAGTGACATCGTGCTCAGTTAAGGCCATCGCTTTAGTGGAAGCTGAATGGGAAACCACAATATGAGCGTGAGTTTGAAGGGGAGGATATGGGAGACGATGGATAGTCATGGAGCCACGTGAAGAGGACCGCAGAGAAAAGAACAAGGTAAAGATGTGCTGCTGAAACCTCAATTCGCACTCAGAATCCTAGAGAACATTATTAATGACGATCAAAATAGCTTTTTTTAAACTATTTCTACCAACTAACCTTTAACATTATATATATATATATATGTAAAGCAACAAGTTGGCAGAAGATGCATCAAAGATAGGACTTCAGGTGAACATAGATAAAAAAGAGGTGATGAAGATTCCTGGCCAACAACAACAACAACAATAGACAGAGAACAATCAGCTAGGATAAATGGGAAGAACCTGAAAGAAACAACCTCCTCTACCTACGTACCTGGGAAGCATCGTTTGAACTACAGGCGAACGAAACTGACGTGGATATCAAAGCAAGAATCGAGAAAGCAAGGCAAGCTTTCATTTCTATCAAGTCTGTGTGAAGGTCAACATCACTCAGCATGAAAAATAAGATCCGAATTTTCAACTCCAATGTGAAGTCAGTGCTACTATACGGATCAGACACTTGGCCAGCGCGTCATAAAGAGCACCTCAAACAAACTACAAATCTTCATCAACAGCTGTCTTCACTCAATACTCAAGATCAGATGGCCAGCCAGAAAAGATCAGCAACAGGGATCTCTGGCAATGAGCGAACCAACCAGGAACCGATTGTGCAACAGCTATGCAGGAAGAAATGGGGTTGGATTGGTTGGCCATACTCTGAGAAAAGAAACCATCAAGTGACATCACTAGACCAGCCATTGTTCGAGTGGAACCTGAAAGGGAAGCAGCTAGTCGGTCGTCAGTGCTAGGGTGACTTGGAGGAGGTCATGTGAAGAGGAGATGAAAGCATGTAGGCAGACTTAGAGCCGGGTTAAAAAGTTGGCTGAAAACAGAAGGCAATGAAGACGTGCAGCTGAAGCCCTATGTTCCTCTAGGATTCAAAGGAAATAATATATATATATATATGTAATATAGTGACTGATTCCTGAGCAAATCATCAAATAACCGACTGAAATAGCATGCTATTGGACTCACCTTTAATTACCTTGATACAATCGACATTCGGTGGATAATTGTCAGGATACAGTGGACTAGTGAAGGTGTATAATGTTGGCTGTCGACTGCGTAGAATATTTTTAAAACGTTGATTATAATCATAAAGATGTTGCTTTTCTGTTTTAGGCAATTGTACTAAAGCAGTTGGATCAAATTCAACAGTACTAATCCAATTCGATGGTTTATGACGATCCCATAGTTGACTGCCAGCAGTTTTTAGGTTTGATGAAGATGATGATGATAACGTTGACGATGCAGAGGCAGAGGCAGCGGCAGCGGCGGCGGAGGATACCGCTGATGCAACACCCCTTGATGCTACTGTAGGCGATGATGACAGTGAGCCAGCAAATGTTACATATCTATTTTCTTCTTTAGGATCATCTAAGTAGTAGGAATTGATGAATTGATCGCAGACAGTTGACTGATTAGGAAGACGATACGCTGACCAGTAGTCAATGTCGATCATTGATCCGGTGAATAATTTGACCGATCTGGTTAAATCTCTATCACAATAGCTGTGATTAATCAGTAAAACTGTCACTAGAACAAGAAGGAAGAATAAAACAAAACGGAAAAGAAATTAAAAAAAAACACAAGAGAAATACATGGGACATTGAACACTTTTAACAAGTTTTTACCCATCTCACCGTTCTTTTACTCAAGTATCACTTACTAATTATCCAATAGGGATTTTGTCACTATACTGTGGAGGAGAAACAGTGAACTGCCTAACTGTTACGAAAATGTTCCCGCCATTAAAGTTAAAATAGATATCCCGATAAATTTATCAAGAAACACATGACAAAGAAAGCGGAAAAGGACTACTCATTATCCGTAAACAAGAAGCCTCTTTGTATACGACTGCAATTCAAGTGGGATGTATCTAGTGAAATAATCTCCCAATTCAACTGCACTTATGGTAGATCGAGTTATATTGGCCGTTGCTCTAGGGACTTGATTTTTCGTGCTCGAGAACATCTCTCACTATGGCTAAGCTAAAGTATAGTGAAAACCATTAACAGTTCGATATTGGACCATGTGATGCAAACCGGCCACAAAGCCAGCCAGCATTGAAGAATCCTTCTCTATCATCACCTACCGAGTGTCTAATAGATTGCCACAAATCATCGAAGCACCAAATGCTCCAAACAGCAGAGGCTATTACAGTTCGCCTCAAATAACCAGTGCTCTGTGTTCAAAAGAAGCAAGTCCAGCTAGCTACCACTACTGCCCTGGCCGGCCTTTAGTCGAGACTATAAATTCATGAATTTGTAATACTATCTTTCCTAATTTTTCTGACATTCAGCTTATTTTATGTTGATGCTACTGAACTATAATCCATTGATATTATTGATTCGATGTTATTTAAACATTAATTCTGTTCATAACACTAATTCATTCATTTACTATAATGTATATATAACTGTGGAGCCTGATGATGAAGGGGTTATCGAAAAGAGTACTCTTTGTTCAGCACCCATTGTTTTGAAAAATGACTCTTCCTGTTTTTTTTCGGGTAGGTGATAATGAATTAGTCTGTAATCAAATGATAAAGAAGGAGAATGTTTTTGAATTCAGGATTTTAACCGTCAGAACTAACCGTCAGATCCTAAGGGATTTATCAAAGGCACAGAGCACCATTTGATGCACCTGGATGTTTAACCCACTGAGTATGGACACAGAGGCTTTGGACGGATCTGCGGCATTTCAGGTTGACACAATCCATGTAGCTTGCAAAGGCAGAGAATAGAGGGAAACTAATTGAAAAGGACTATCTATGCTGAGCAGGAATGGCGAAGAGAAAGCAGAGAATAGAGGAAAAAAATATGAGGTTTATATAAGAATAGAACTTGGGCACCATGGTAGAGTATAATTCCATTATGGTGAAAATTGATTTTGATGAAGTCTGACTTACTGATAACATTTCGAGAAAAATTTATTGTTCGTAATCATATCAAGGTATTACTCATACAAATTTGCAACTTCGTTTATATAATGCATTCTAACAGATATTTAGACTTTAATTCATCTCATCCGTTCGTTATCTGTAAAGGCAGGCTTAGTTAAGAGCTGTCTAACAAACCGGGCAATAACAACACTAAGTAGTACATTAAAAGAGCTAAATGAGGAAATGAAACGAATAGAGGATGAAGCGTTGATGTTGCATAATTAACTATCTTATAAAATTCATCAGGAAGATCAAAATACGGTCAATAGTAAAATAAAAATAATGGTGATGAAACTAATAATGACAACATAAATAAAAGAGAATATAAGGCGTCTGTCTGCAGTTTTACCATACAAGGAGCGTACCTCTGAGACCCTCTCCACGAAGGATTCTCAATAAAGCGGGACTTAGTGTGGCACTCAGACGTACAACCTCACTCAAACAGGACAATCCCTGGAGGCTAAAGAACCCTGTTGACCCAATAAGACAAAATAATATAATTTACAAAATACCTTGTAATGTCTGTGATTGAGGCCAACTTTACATCGGTGAAAACATTAGATCGGGGGGAGTCAGATTGTTCGAACACAAGAATTTAGTTAAGTTTAGAATAACTGACCATGCGAAAACAGATAAGTAATTTAGAAAATAGCTCAGCAATTGCATTGCATGCATTAACACACAATCACACAATAGGGTGGGAGAGGGTTAAAATTCTAAGAAGTAATCTATGTAAGCGGAGAGAGAGAGAGCGAGGTTGATCACTGAATCCTTGTTCATACAATGTACACCCACCACAACACATGCAATAAGAATGACTCATCATTCATACCGGAAATATGGAAAATACTACTGCCAATCAAGTCAAGCGATGAAAAATTACGTAATTAAATAAACGAATTAGGAAAGTTGTGTGAGTAGTGCCTTGATATGATTATGAGCGCTAATAGAGTGTGCTCGAAACGTGGCCATATTGTACTGCTGGAAAAAAATTAAGGTTTAATGGATCTGTTAGATTATAGGGATTTTGAACCATATCGCCAATCAACTCAAGTATCGTTCCTCACGATCGAAAGACCCCTTAACCAGAAAGTTTACACCCATCCTTAAGTGGCTAGCTCATACCAATATTCAAAGACTTTATGGATTCATGTCACCTTCTGGTTTGACCACTTACGTCTCTTTTACAACTTAATCCCATATCACCTACCATTGCTTGACCAGGAAGGCGATGGATTGCTTGTTATGTCTAACAGATGTTCGAGACACCTTAAACGATGTAGCTTTGTAAATCCTTTGATTGATTCGCCCTACTTACCTAGCAGTTTACATCTAATCTTAATATTACAGACCATATTATAACACTGAACACGGAAAATAGTAGACAGACAACTAGTCTGTCAGCTCAAGGAAATGGAGACGCGGTTAGTCTGTTGGATACAAAGTCGAGAAGCGGAGCAGATGTGGACTGGGACCTTCATCTAGTTCAAGGAACCTTCAAGGTGAAGCTGAAATCCATGAAAACAAATGGAGACAGATCACTGTAATTCAAAGTTCAACATTCAGAAATTGAAGGACAAAACAACAAGATCAGATTAGATCAGAGCAACGTCGGATACACTAGGTGGAAGAACATTGGAACTGACTCTATGGAAACGACAGTTAAGGAAACATATACAGCTGATATACGTTATTTAGTATCAATGCATATAGACAATTATGGACATCAATTTGATTGGGATAATGTCAAAATTTTAGACAGAGGAAACACAAAAAGTTCAGTCAGGGAATTTCGAGAAGCCTGGTACTCAAACGAAAATGCGATCAACAAACATGTTAATATAGACCAAATATACCAACTAATAAAAAGTAGATCATGTGACTAAATAGTTTAAAATCCAAGTCAAAAGAAAATGATCAATACATATGTAAAGATGGTTACCGGAAGACGCAATTATATCACTCGCTCATCAAGAAATTTAAATCAGTTAACTTTATGTTAAAAATTGCGCTGAAAGGGATGTTGTCCAGCAGGGGGATGACGGAAGCTCCGCAACTAAACCAACCAACCAGCTCAGAGAACACTATTAATTGCAAATCATCCACCTACCTGAGCTAAAAATCTTCTCTATTATTTCAAACAACTAGTCTTTTCATATCCTCCACTTTCAGTGACCATCGTTTCACAGTGACAAAAGAAAAACAAGGTGACCTGCAGTACAGATCTCAGTAGATCCTATTCAATGGAAAATACTCTCTATAACTGTCTCTGTTCCCTTATGGATCTATCTTTATAACAGTAAGTGGAATTCCGCTCACAGACTGGATTGGTTAGCAGGCTCACTTAGAAGCTTAAAAACACTGAAAGGTTATTTTCAAACGAGGATCAGGAAAAGCAAACAAACAAAAAATGAATAGCAGTCCACTTCTAATATCGATTTATACAGAAAAGAGTTAGTTCTTCTTCATTTTTATCACATTACCTGATCGTTTGATGAGTAAAACAGCACATAACAAAACTCAGTAACTAGTATATTTTTTATATCATAAATAAAGAAGTCTGTGTTACTTTTACTGACGTTGAATTGTTTTTAATCATGAATTTGTAGGTATGTTTATTAGGGTATACAAGAAGAATAATTGCCCTACACACGCACACACTCACACACAGAGACATTGGGATACGTGGATTGAATCAAGATACACATGAATATGCACACACGCTGTCTTCACTGATGATGACTTTACTGTTAAGTGATTCTCTGACGAAAACACACACAACAGAAATAATAACGAAAACAACAAAACCAACAGTGATAACAGTAATAATATTGAAGAAGAAATAAAATTCACTTTTAGAAGTCGCCAGGGGATTTATCAGCGTAATGGATGATAATGCTGATGATGGTGATGATGATTGTGTTTAAAGGAAAAACAAAGGGAAAAAAATAATAATTTTCTCCTACAATATATAAAAATTTAAAAATATAAAAAACTGATGGAAGAAAATGAAAAAAGGAAAGAAATTTGATGAGAATTAACTTTGAATGAAGTTTTATGTCTGTTTTCGCATTCCCCCCCCTCTCCCTTACAAAACACACTGCAACCCGAAACTCGTTTCTCTCTCTCCTAAACTTTCTTCTCTACTTTTTCCTCTCACACTTTTCTTCAATAACAAGGACTTTCTTTGGTGTGTTACACTATTTCGACATTTGTATCTGCAATAAACGACAACATACGAAGCCTTTGTTACACTGTCTTTCCCGGAGTCGAACAAGAGAGCTTTTCTCTAGAGGGGAGAGAATATGTTCACCAAACAAATGCTTCTTGAAAAATGCCTGAGAGAAAATGGTTACCCACAAATTTTATTAACAAATATGGTAAGACTGAACTCAAGAAGCTTGATACAGCTAAAGTCAGTAAGAAGCCTATTTTCATCCAAACTCATCAACTACAAGGGCGACGACAATATGAGAATGTATCTGCAGCGTTAACAGTCTCTTTATCCCGAAAAACCTCCTCACTGTTGGTGCAGTCAAAGGTTGACAAGTACCCCTCACATGTCACCTCCAACTGTGTATACCAACTGACA